AAGAACTTCCCAGGGTGTATGTAAATTATAAAACATTGTTCCATAGCTGATTTTGTTGGTGAGAAATTGAAAAAAAAAAAACCACAAAAAAGCTGTCAAAATGATAATCACTAGAAAAAAAAAGAAACCTGTGTGAGTGAAAGTTGGCAAGTCTGTTAGCAGAATGACTACTGTACTGGAAAATTACTGAGCACTGTTTATAAAGGCAATCAGACAGGAATGTTAGTCTTGGAGTCCTACTTTCAACATCAGCAGCTGTATTATTCTACTAGATTCCTTGTACTTTTCTCAAAAAAATTTTAAAAAAAGCCTTCTAGTGACTGGGTGTGGCACAACCTGTTCTCAAAAGACAAGATTCACCTGATTGCTTTGAGCCCAGTGCAGCAGAGAGATGGTGGAGGGCTTCAGGAGAGGACAGGCCACAGCAGAATGTGTGTGTGTTTCATGGAAAACACAATTCCATTTGTAAAGAGACTTTTCTTCTACATAGTCGAGCATGAGCTTGGTTTGACAGCTGTAAGCAAAGTATATCTGTCAGTTCCACATGACTGATTCTCAGAAATCTTTTCCAATTCTCCTTGCTAAAATTATCCAATGTAAAATCCTGGCCCTGCTGAAAGCTGGTCTGAATTTTTGCCTAAATCAGTAGAGACACGGTTTCATCCAGGTGCCTCAGAAAACTAAGAGTAATTTCGCCATGATTTTGCATCACAAAATGGTGCTAAAAACAACCAATGCTAACTGGGCACAGAGTTATCCTCACCTGTGTATTAAACCAAAAGATTTTCAATCAAATCTATTAGAATCCTATGATTACAGGGTTTTAGATAAGTTTCTGTCAAAGAGCTTTTTCAGACATGTTTTGTAGGAAGTGTCCTCTGATGCTTTTCTGAGTAGTAGTACAGGCTCTAAATTGCTTGTAGGTAAGAGCCAGCTCTAAAAAAAACGGGCTTAATAACAAAAAAAGGTGTTATTGCAAACATGTCTTTGGTCATATCTGAGCTATTACTGTGAAAGCAAGGAAATTAATGTCACTTGTAGCATTGGGAAGGCAACAAAAGCATCCTGTAGGTAGTGAGGGAATGTGGGAACATGGCATGGATGTGTAGTTAGGGGAAGAGAACACTGTTCTTTTGCAGGGCTCAGGGCAGAAACAACCAGGGGAAATTTAATGGGCTGCAGTATTTACCCCAGAAGATGTAATGGCTTTATGCTATAAGAGGCTGCAAATCTCAGAAAAGTGACCTCATGTCTTTTAATTGCACTCCCTCACCCCCATCCTTCAGCCTTGATCCGTTTTATCTTCCTAATATTTTTTTTTCCCAAATCTTTAGCTACAAGCCCTCATTTGCAGACATACATCTCCCCTGGGTTTATGTTCATTGTGCTGCAGGCAATTTTTTTCCTAGAAAATGTGGGAGTCTAGGCAAGTAGGTAGAGTAGATAATTCAAGGTTAATGACTAATCCAGACCATAGAAAGACCAAATGATGAACTGAATCTCCAAAAGATATCTCAAGATTGCTCCAGGGGCCTTCCAGATGAATGTTGCCAAAGCAGATTAGAGGAAGAGCTCCCAATTCCTCAGAAGAGATACTGAGAGGTCAGAGGTTGAGGAAGACTCAGAAGACAAAGATTTAGAGGAGCCCTCTCAGATTGCATGTCCTGCCCATCCCAGCTTTTTTGAAGCTTTTAAAAATCACACGCTTCTGGGCATATTTTAGCTAGAAAGACAGCCACTGACTAGGGTAAAATCTTTGCTTAAAAGCTCATCACTTTCTTCCTGAATCTAACCACCAGCAAGGATCACTCAGCTCTTGAATCTTCTGTAGAGGTAAGATTACAAAAAATAATACCTGGGATAAAGCCATCCCTGTGGTTGTGAGAAATATGAGTGTGTTTGTCACGTAAATCAGTGCTTGTTGGCAAAATGAGAGGCTCTCCTGGGACCCCAGCTGGAGAATTCTCATGGTCCCAAGAAGATAGGTTATAACCTGGGAGGAAAAGACCAAACTGAAAAGAACTCTGGTGTCAAGCAATCCCTAAGATCAGTTTACAGGCTTAAAGTGTAACTAGAAGACAAATGCTTTATATGGTATACACAGGGCTTAGTGTACAGCAGTTAATTGGCTTAGTCAATAATACAGAGCCAGCCTGGGGTTTGGAGTTAGAACACTGGAGTTATTTTTGACATTGTCATAAGAAAAATACCTACCCTTTCTTTAAAAAAATCACCCTCTAAGTAGGTCTTGTTGTTAAACTCAGGTGTGTTCAGAAGGTGTAATGACAGTGTAGAGACAAAAATCTACCTGGGGTGCAACTTAATAGTTACCAGCATGTGATACCATTTACACATCACATTTTTCTCTCCTGTGTGTATATTACTTGCAGATAGTAATTCTGCTAATATCTTACTGCAAATTCCTTCCAAAAATTTGAAACTGGCAAAAATTTTATTCTTCAATCACTTTATCCATAAATCCATTGTCTTGCCACTCTGGTTGTGAACATTGTTGAAACATTGTTACAGTTCCTGCGTGTTACAGGCACTGAAACAATATTTTCAGCTGCCTGTGAAGGAGAATATGGGAGAACTGTGGGGGTTCACGGCACTGCCAGGACAGTATGTGGGACTCACCTTTACTTGTTTGCCAGATTGTTTTTACAAGCCGTTGATTCAAGCATAGATTTCACTAAGAGGATGAAGTTTAGTGGTCAAAGTGATCATCTCCTTGGTGCTTTTGAAAATAACCTACTTTACATATTAGTATTGTTCAAACATTTAATGTCACAAGTCTCCTGGATGTAAAAGTAAAACCACCATTTTAAAATAGCCTTTAATTTCTAAGTATTTTGACTGTCACAAGGCGGGGCAGAGTGGGCTGTGAGGTTTCAGAGATCCCTTACAGCATTGCCTCACCTGATTTGTAACCACAGGGTTGGAATCAGGAGTGGATGTGGTGGATGGTGGCTGAAGCTGACCTCTCCAAGGAAAAAGCTGGAGATTGTTTTCACCACAGGCACATCTTTGTATTGGTACCCTGGGTTTGAGCTTGTTCCCTGTGCAATCTTTCTTCTCATGATGATAATACTTGTTTTTTCTGTGCTGATTTTCTAGTTACGCTCTTGTCATGCCTGTAGTGGTACTGACTAGAGACCAGCAAACAAGGTGGAAATCAGGTGATTTCTTCCCTCCACAAGAGCAACAATCAAAAAAAAAATAGAAAGGAATTTTCCTTCCTAAAAGGAAAGCCATAACCTTTCTTCTTAAGGCATCTTGGAAGTAGCTGGCATGCTGTGTGCTGCCCATCCTAGATGCAGGCTCACGGGCAGCTTCTGCCAAGAATGTATTTTTATCTTTCTCCTTTGCTTTCAGCCCCTTTCTCTTTTTCTTTTGCCAGTAGCTGTAGATCACAGTGAGAGCACAGTGCTGAAGTGAATATTAGCTGAGTGGAGCCTGGACAGAACCCTTTCCCAGCCTTGTGACTAACATTCAGCTCATAAAGCACAGTCATTTCATCCCTTCAGGCCTTTGTCAAAGGGTTCCTTCCCCCAGGTGGATAATTCCCTCATGTTTGCTCCAACAGGGCAGAGCCCAGCTGATACCAAGGGGGCCTGGTTATTAATTTTAGTGAACACTGATTTCTGCACTTTAGGGCTATTTTTGTCAGTCTTTCAGCCCTAGTATTCAATTTCCCAGCTGACATTTTCCCATTCCATATGAGAAATACCGAGCCCTAGGCTGCAGAGATGCACCAGAACTGCAGTCTGGAGAAACAGGTTTGGTGTTGCACCAGCTGTTTTAGCCAACAGAAATTCACAGATGTGTCAGTCAACTGCTTTAATGCACAGGAACATTTGAGCAGGGCCCTGTTCCACAAAAGACAGGCAGCCAGTCTGCCCAGTCCTGCTCAAACCAAATGGCTTCTGCCTTCAATGTCAGTGCAGTCATCAGTGCTGTCATGCCAGTCACGGAATTTACAAATAAATTCATGACAATTGCAGCAGGTGAAGATGTTTCTACAAATGGTGCTGAACTGATTTTCCTCCCTTCAGGAACGGGAAGATGGGAAACAGTTGTTTAATTCATTTCAGAGAAGTAACACACAACAGCTTCAAAAGAAATGTGGTGAATAAGTTGCTCTATCTAGACTACAGGAGCCTTCAGCAGAATGAAATAGTATTTCTCAGCAGACCTGTTTTTGGGAAGTCTTGTTTGGGCCACTTACCATAATAGACATCACAGGACTGGGTGACAAGTAAGAGATTCATGGTGTAATGGTGTAGGGATACTAATCTGGATGACAGTCCTGAATAACAGGCTAGAAGGTCAATTGCTTGGTGAGAAAGGCATGAGAACCTTCTGGTGCTCAATGGCTGCACAGTTATTGCTCCAGTCCCTCACTCCATCCAGGAATGCCTGTAATTACAGAGAACATGCTCCTCACTGACAGATTGCAGGAAGCTAAAGATCAATGTTGCTTTTCTTTTAGAAAAAAACATCCTTCCCTCCATCCCTCCTCCTTCAGATCCTTCTTAGACACTTTATTCACTGTCCTGTAGCTGCGCTCTGGTGCTTCCAGCACTTGCTGGAGTCAGTGGAGCTGGAATGCAGAGAGGGGAGGATGCCTCCTTTGCCTTGCAAGGAATGGTCTTGCAGGATGGTCTGCAGAAAAGACTGGCTTTATCTGAGGGAAAAAAGCAGCCCCACTGCAGAGAGTGGGGTTAAAGGGAGTGATGCAGAGTTTGGGGTTTTGCCTGGCGTGGAGTCAGGAGGGAATATTCACTTGCATACTGACAGCTCCTGGTGTACGCACTTCAGCTCCCAGAGGGGATCAGTGACAACAGCACAGCACCATCAAAGCACCCACAAATCCAGGAAGAGCTGCCCATTTCTCACTGGTTTTAAGCGAAGCATAATATTTTATTCAATTGCTATTTTATAATTGCTATTAATATTTTATACAGTTTGTTAACATTTATCCTCTGGCTCCTTCCCAGGTGGGTGACTGGTCACTGGAGCCCCTGCTCTGCCACTTGTGAGAAGGGTGTACAGCACCGGGAGGTCACTTGTGTTTATCAGCTGCAGAATGGCACCTATGTCAACACCAGGGATCTCTACTGCCTGGGCAACAAACCAGCCACGGTGCAGAGCTGTGAGGGACGGGACTGCCTGTCCATCTGGGAAGCATCAGAGTGGTCAAAGGTAGGAACTTCACTCCAGAAAGGAGCCAGACTCCTCAGAACTCCAGATACACTGGACTTAATCCGTGGTTCTCATGCTCAGCATCCTCAGAGCACTGGACTGCTGGGCAGGACTCTCGTCTGTTGAGATGAGCAGTGAGGAGCTGAGATTTGGTTTCCAGACCAGATGAGTCAGTAAGGCAGGGTGCTCTAGTGACTGTATCTTTCTATCTGAAAACTCTGACCAAGAAGGAAAAACTTTTCATTGACCTGAGGCCAGAAGTGCAGTAACACAGGGCTTCTGGCTCCATTTAAATGTGGTATGAGAAATACCAGGCTTATCAGGTGTCTGCATGTTACAGAGAATGTACAGCCTTTGGGTCCTATCCAGCCTTCTTTTGTGTAATTCCAGGAACAAGAAAAAGCTGCCTGTATTTTGTATAAAAGGTGCATCTCAGAGTAGTTGCAGAGTTAAGAATTTTTTCCCAAGTGTTATGAATGCATTTCTGATGTAAATAATGGGAGATTGAGCCAGTTACCCTGTGTTTCGTTTAGCAGCAGAGTGATCTGGGAGTGTGCCTGCAGTTCAAGACCAGGACTCAGTACAGGGCAGCTTTGTACCCTGTAACATTCCTTACAGGATGCTCATGTTCACTTTGATATTGTATTTGCTGGGCTACCTGAGTGATGAGCTCCTTTCACTCTGGGTGCAGGGTTGGAGCTCTACCAGCCTCATTCCAGCCTGGCTGTCTTGCAACAACCCTTCCTGTGGGAAGGATTCCTCATTATTCACCTTTATTTGGAACAGGGAGCTCCTGTTTAAAACATTGTCAAAGTGATTTTGCTAAATATTATTGGTTGAAATGTGCTTAAAAGTCACAGAAGCTCAGGATAGAAGGGATCCTGAGGAAAACTGTCTTCTCACAAACACAATGGGATTTCATTGTGCACCTCCTGGACAGGAAGTCTTAGTTTGGCAAGAGAGGTGATGGTTAAGTGAGAGCAGTGTTCCCTTTCAGTGGGGTGCTGGATCCATTCACTGGTGCATGAGATTCGTGATTTTTCTGAGTTCTTTTGTTACAAAAGATGTGCAGAAACACACCAAGGTTTTAGTAAGTTGTCTGATAGGTCTTTTGTGTGTTGTAGACATTCCCCTTTCAGATGATGCCCTCTTTATTTCTTATAGCTAAACCAGCTGAACTGTTTATAGCTGAGATTAGGGTGCAATTCCTGCCTGGTTTACATGTGGATTTTTCACTTGAGTCTTTTGTTAACAATCGCAGGTACTTCTGTCTCCCTTTTATGGAACAGAGTAAGTCAAATTACAGATCATTGGAAATCTTTCATATCTATGACAATGTAACTCCTTTGCAAATACATAGCATTTTTAGATAATGTTTTTAATAGCTGGTTTGCTTTTCCTTAAATACATTTATTTACTTTTGTTGGGTCTGTAACTGTGCACTTGCACTTTTAAAATTGTTATTCTGGCCCATTTCTGCTGTTATGAAGCACAATTAACTCCAGGACACGTTTGATGCTCTGCCAGTGTGACCCCTTCTCACACCTAGGACTTTCTTCAGTGGTAATCACTTTATTCCTTAGCATTTTAATCTGATATTGAGGAATAAGTATCACTGTAATGGGATCATTTAATAAATCAATTTTCTGATCTATTTTTTTTTTAACTTCTTGCTTATACAGCACTGTTGACCACACTGATGTCTGGTCCCTGGTCAAAAATGTGTGTTTTCACAGCAAATTCCAATGCAATCTTCATTGTGGAAAAAATTAAGTTCCCTTTGTATTGCCAAACACTTGAGATTGTTTTGGACAAAGTACTGCTCAACCCATTTTTAATGATAAAAATAGAGACTGTCAGGAGAAGGTGAATATGTCTACTGTTAGAGAACTGGAGTGGAAAAAAATATGGATTTTCTTCAGATAAAGGAGTTGTGTCTTATTTGCAAAGCTGTGTTGCTGCTTTGCAAAGCCTCATGAGATCTGACAAATTAATTTAATAAAATAAGACTTAATGATCTCGAGTGGACACACAGAAACTGTGTATATTAATTTGTGGACTCTCTGTAAAATCTGTGTATTAAGAAATTCTTCATGAAAACAGATGACTTGAGGAAAGGAAAAAAAACCTCTTAAAGAGGGTGATTTATATGTGACCACCAAAGATCTGTTGGAAACCTTCTTGCTCATGCTGTTTTGTCTAGGAAAGTATATGCAGTATTAATCTGTGAATGACTTTAAGGCTGTGGGAAGAACAAACAGTTGGTGTTTTTCCCAGACTTGCTTGTAAAACCCACCTAGAGATTTCTCCTACTGTGAAAAATACTCCCACTTCAGCTTGATTTACTTTGAGTAAATTGGACCATTCCAAAGATTTTTATATATTGATCTTTGTAGTTTGAGATGCACAAGCACAGCCCTGAGGAGTCCACCCTGGGGCCTGAGGAAAGTGATCCGTAATTTGGGAAAGTCTACCCAATCTAGGGCAAATTCATGGCTTAAGGTAACATTTAGGGAGCTCCAGCCTGGGATCTCTGGCAAGCCTTGTGCTCTGAGCAGTCCAGCAAAGCCTTTTGTGGAATTTTGCAAATCTGGGAAGAATTCATCCCCCTGTCTTAGCAGAACTATAGATTGTGCTCCTTACAAAAATGTTACATCCGTAAGGGGGTCACACCGTGAGCGGCACACAGTAAATTAAGCGGAAGGTTTCCCAGATTTTCAAGAAGTCACTTTGTAGTGCTGTGAAGTATTTAAAGGCATGTCTGTTTGCTTGCCAGCTCATAAACGCTTGTCATTCATGTCCTTAACAAGGCCAGCAGGTCAGAACTGCCTGGATTGTGTTTTTAAGACTGTTAGACAGGCATGCTGAGATTTGTCCATTTGATGTAATTTATATCAAGCTGACGCTTGTTTCCAGCATAGACCCCCTGGATGGAGAAGCTTCTTGGAACATGTTCAAAAGACCTCACAGAATATCTCATATCTTCACTATTTATTCAGTGTCAAATCAACTGTCTTTTCCCCGCTGGCCCCCTGAAGGGGAGAACTTGACATGCCAGAGGAGGTTAGTTTTTATCTCAGCTGGTACATAGATCATTTTTCCACCCACCTGTCCCCAATGGCTCTGCAAGACAGTTTCTCACTCTTAACCACTGCAGTGGCATGAGAATGAGGAGCAGGCAGAGTGGCTGTGCTCAGGAGTGGTGACAAGGACTCAGGTGGCTGTGACAACAGGTGCTCTACTACCAAACTGATCATTGAAAACAAAAATTTGGGTTCAGTTCATGCAAGTGTCCTTTTCCCATGTCGTACAGCCAATAAAATCAAGACAAATTCTTCATTAAACAAGAATTTCCAACCATTGGCAAGGATAACAAATGAGTGACCAGATATCCCTGCTCCTTAGATGCTAATTCCATAGAGCCCAGGTCCAAAAACGTTTGTGGATAATTTGTGCTTACTCACTAAACGTTTTTTGGAGTTTTTCAGAATTAAGATAGCAATGGCAAATCAAAATCTGAACACGTGCATGTTTCACATGAGAACCTGTGAGAATTGTGACTTTGCCATGATATACACAAACTGTACTACAGAAATGTGTTTATAACAGTGGTCTCGTGCTGCTGTGATTTAAAATCACATTTAACACCACCATTTATCACCCTTGATGTGTCCCTTGATACATCAAGGGATGTGGCAGTTCTGAGTAGTGAATCTCAGTGTGTCCTTCAGTATGAGTGAGGAGCTCTTCAAAGATTTAGTGGCACCAAGTCTAGCAAAAAGCCAGCTGACATTTTCCAGAGAAGATTGATTTTCAGAATTGCCATTTTTCATAAGTATTTCACAAGCAGTCATCATACTTTTCAAATTACTCATTTATGAGTGGCTTAGATTTTTGTGATAAAATCTTATGGATTATCATTTTCCTCAGTGTTCATAACCCCAGCTTTTCATCTGAGCTGTGTTACCAACATAAAAGCTATCATTTCTAAGCACCATGTAACAAAAACCAAACCCCTGTTTTTTTCAGTGCTCAGCAGACTGTGGCAGGGGAATTCAGAAAAGAACAGTGACATGCACAAACTCCCAAGGCAAATGTGATGCAGCCACCAGGCCAAGAGAAGAGGAAGAGTGTGAGGATCACACAGGCTGTTACGAGTGGAAAACAGGAGACTGGTCCAAGGTAACAGCAAACACTTCGTGCTTTTCCTTTCTGAGAGCAAAGATGTTCAGTGTGCTGATCTCCCATGTGCTGTCTGCATTAATTGGCAGTTTAAATATTTAGGAAGCAAAGGTTTAACTGGTTTTCAGGGTAGACTGGGACCTACACACATAGTCCAGTCCTAGACTCATTCCAACCAGCTGAAGTGAAAGAAAGGCTTGAGTTTAAAGGCAGAGCCAAAACCATCAGTCCCTTCCTCAGGGCTGGAGCTTACCTTCACTTAGGCTTGTCTTAACTTTGTTTCTCTGGTGATGTCAGTGGAATTAATTCCTGAATGCAGTGGATTAAACCAGGGCAGAGTCTGCTCTGTATTTGCCTTCTGATCTTAAGAGTAATACAAGGTTTTGCTTGGGAAGGAGGCCTGGCAGTGTGAGAAACTCAGCCCTTGCCAGTGTTGTTCAGAAAGCACCCTTTACATTACTGACTTCGTGTTTGCATAAAGGACTAACATTTCCCAGCAATATTCCAGTTTGGTTTTATCTTATCTTTCTAACTATGCTGTTCTTTAAACAGAAAACCTACTTTTTGTTCTGGAACGTACAGCATGTGCAGAAACCACTGGGATACAGTAGTTGCACTTTGCTTTCTAAAAACCCGAACTCCAGCAAGCAAAATCCAGTGGAGCAGAGACCCAGGATGGGCAAATTGGCTTACCTGTGATTGCTTTTTTTTCTTAGGAATTACAATTATGTATATACTCTGTCACAGACACATGAATTTAATGGTGTCAGTGCTGGAGAATGCAGGAAAAACCTGCCACATACAGAGTGGCTGTATTTATGCTGAGCCAGGAATTTATGTCACAAGATGTTTACAGTATTGAACATTATTTTATTCATAACCTGGCACTCAGAATCCATGCAAGCTGGCCAAAACAAACAGTCCCTATGTGTTAACAGGTGAAATAACTTTATTTATTTGTTTATTTACTTACCTATTTATTTGTGGAACACTAAAACATTTTGGCATTCAAACAGACCAGGATTCTCTTGATAGGGAGGAATATGAAATAATTGTGTGTTCACCGATTACATGGATTGAAAGTTCAGTGTTGTGTGAACATTTCCAATCTGATAAAGATGTTGGCTCATTGCTGGGAGGGCTGCAACCTTACATGGGTCACAGTAAACAGTGGTGTTTGATGGGTTTAATGTCTGCATGTCAGCAGGGCAGGATCAGTGCAAAATCACTTGTTATTTGTGAGTCTTAACTCAGGATCAGGATCATCCCTGTGCAGGAGGGCACAAAAGCTTGTGTGCTGCATATGTGGCCTGCTTCTGTCTGCAGGGAGCTTGTGCCAGTGCTCTGCTTCCCAGGAATTTCGCCCTGTGTGAGTCCAGCAGGATGTTCTTGGACTTAGATTTGGCTTGTAATGAGCATTTAAAATTCTAGACATATTGGTTAATTCTGACCGGATACTTAGGTCACACAATTAGATTCTTACTCTCTGAGTAGAGGGGTAGAGATTTCTAGAAAAGGGTAGGTACAATTCTTAGAAGAAAATGTATTGTTTCAGAAACCCAGATAGCTGAAATGTTTGGTGTGGAATTCAGTTCTTCTCAAATCCTGAGTGAAGGATTTTCATCATGAGGATCCAGAAGCTTTAATACAGGGCTTGGACTTAAGAGGGGAGCATTTACAGCTATCAGCAACTCTGGCATAAAACAGTTCCTCCATTAAGGAGAAACACAAAGTCTGTAGCCATTAGATTATAGAGAACTCTTTGAAATTCATCCTTCCAGGGCAAAATTCCACTGTAAAACATTTATTCCCAGTCCTGTAAAAGTCACTGTGAGAGATCTTTGTGCTGACTAAGATGGAAACTTTTCCTGTTAATACAAATTGATCTCAGAACAAGCAACAACTTTGTGCAATTAATATGTTGTGCATTTGTTGCTTATTGCTGAGAACCATCAGGGAAGCACGATTTAACTAACAGCGGTAATTATCACAGATTAAAATAATGGGCTTTGATGCTTTATGTGCAAACAGCTTGCCTGGTGACTTGGCCTCTGATCCTTAATTTCACAAACCAAGATCCTCTTTGAAGATGCCGGGAAGTCATGTAAGAGGGAGGGAAAAACCTCATTTGAAAAGTCAGGTCCAGATACAACTTGTAAATAGAGCAGGCTGTTTGGGTGGTATGACAGAGTGTTATTTTTGTGTTAGCAGTGGCAGTATTTGTAGAATACATGGACTCTGTGCATGAGGAGATGGATCAGCTCCCTAAGGAGCTCCCAGCAGTAAAATCTGCACATCTACCCCAGACAAATTGTGGTTTTAAGTTCTCAGCTCCCACGTAGAAGAGGTGAGGGCTGGAGACGAGGCCATGCTGATCTGAGACCTGCACCCACCAGCCAAACCTCGTCCACTGGCCTTAGCAACAGCTCTGTAGCCATTATCCATGCTTGAAAGAAGAGGGATTTTATCCCATTTTCTGTCAGGTTTTTTGCAACTGGTCCTTGCTGTGTCCTGTAGCTGTGGAAAGCATTTGGACCTAATTGAGCAGATTCAGCAACGCAGTCCTGGCTGTCATGTTTGTATATTCTTAATATATTTGCAGCATGTTTCAAGTGTTGCACAAGGAACTGATAGATCCAATTCACTTTGCAAACACATAAGGCCAGGTTTGTAGTTATTTTAAATGGCTCTGAGTTTGCCTTTGTTAGCCCAGTGCTTGGGACTAACAGACTGTACTGGAATTCTAAAGACAGAGAGTTGTTCTGTTACTACACCTCTCTTATTGCTGCTACTAAACTTGCAGCTTCTCTGCACTGCTGCCACTTCTCTTTTAAACTCATTATCTTAAAGGGAAGTAATTATTATTTTTAGCATTTAACTCAGCATTGGTGTTACAAGTTTTATAACTAAACTGTTCCTGGCTTCAGTCTTCAAACCTAATAGAAACGTGAATTGCACAATGCAAGACCCACTGAAGGTGTTAACCTGAAATAATTATTTTATTTTTGCCTGGATTCTTCAGAATTGCAATTCATTATATCATGCATTTTTGTACATGATGCAATATACAAAAGGGAGTCCAAGCCATCTCCCATTCAGTTATTTTCTTCCAAGAGGAAATTCCACATCCAGTTTGCATTCACTTAAAGAAACAAACATCTCATACACTCGTTCTACTTTGAAATAATTCCTCCTTGTTTGAAATCTGAACTGTTAAATGTTCTAGCACTGGAAGCATTTTTACATTTTTGTTGTACTTGTGCTGGTCAGAGGAACAAACACAGGTTGCTCAGTTTCCCAGCACTTGCCTCAGACTCCCAGACTGCTGCAAATGTGCCTCTTGATGCTTTAGCAAGACAGTAGTACATTCTTTCATGGTGAATTATATTTTTGCTGACAAACTTTACGTCGAGGATTGCATTCCTGCAAGAACAGAGCATGTCTTTATGTATGTGAATCTCTGGGGAGCTGAGCAGGACACACAGCCCAGCTCCACACCATTCCCTGCTCCAGGCTGCACTGGAAGGAGCAGCTGCAGGACTTGGACTTGGTGTTGGAGTCACTGGAAACGTGTCCCAGATGTTGTGGGGAGCTGGAGGTGTTGGTGAGTTGTGGTGGTGACACAGAAATTGTGCTTGAAGGTGAGCAGCACCAGGGGCTGATTTTTAGCCCCACGAGGCTGCCCCCTGACCTCAGATCTCTCCTCTTCTGCTCCAGCAGTGATGTAGCAGGAAAAGATGGCCAAAGGGAGACCTTATTGCTCTCCACAACCACCTCAAAGCAGGTTTTGTTGAGGTGAGGGTTAGGCTCTTCTCCCAGACAACCAGAGATAGCACAAGGGAGGTTCAGGTTGGATATTAGGAAAATATTCATCACTGAAAGAGTGGCTAAACATTGGAACAGGCTCCCCACTGGAAGTGGCAGAGTCACCATCCCTGGAAGTGCTCAGAAACCAAGCAGATGTGGCATTCAGTGCTAGGGTTTAGTGGGCAAGGTGGTGTTTGGTCAAAGGTTGGACTTGACCTTGGAGGTTCTTTAATTCTGTACGGGCCAATGCTTTATTTTCTGAGTTCCTTTCCTCCAGTTGTCCTGTGGACTCTTCTGAGGTATAATTGAGGAGGCAAGGTTTTATAGCAGGAGCAATTCTCCACAAGATTTTTATGGATTTTTCTTTATTTCCAGTTTTACTTAATTGTTTCTCTATTTCACATGCCTCAAATTCTGTCCTGACTAAAGTTCTGTATTTGGAGCCAATAGCACAGAATGGTTCAGGGCTCCCAGTTTCATTTTTTTGACTATTCTCCATTTCACTGGTGTATCAAGAAAGGTGGAATTACAAGCCAGACACACAAGCTCCATCGTTAGCTCTGACTTTCACAAGGGGCATTTTCAGCTCCGTGGGTGGAAGTTTAAATATGCAATATCTGTCCCTCAGGCAACAATTTAGCTCATTAACCTATTATATTACCTAGCCCAATGAAAAGATTTGTAGAAGAAGAAAGACGCATAGAGGCCTTGTGGCATGTTGGCTTTGCCATATTTTTTTCTTTGCAGTTACAGTAGGTGCTCTGTAAATGCTAAGGCCTGTATTAATCTCAGATAACCCAGTGTAAATCCAGGGTAACTGTCTTTCATTCTTCCCTACAACCCACTGGTCACGGGCCAAGGATCTCACTCAGCACACTGGGTCAGGTATCAGTCTCTCTTACATGAGGGTAAACCCAGATTTATTCAGGCACTTGAGTTAATGCAGGTTTATGCTAATGCCATGCAGAGCAGGATCTGACCTGGTGAGCTGTGCAGAGTCTTTGGGTCTTGGATAAGAACCATCACAGATTTGTGCTCTCAGGAGAAAGCAAATCTATGACACGTCAAGCTGGGCTTCAGCTAGCAGAGAAAGTAGAGGAAAAATCTATTTCTACCACTTCACATCTTGTATAACCACCTGGCACACAACTTTCACTGGATTCAGAGAGATTGTACACTCCAGAAACTGGAAA